TCTCTCTCTCTCTCCCTCCCTCTCTCCTTGTCTCTGAGTCTCCGTCTCTTCGCGGCCAAGCGATAACCCGTGCGTCTGTTGAAGAGTGGCCTCCATTTTGCGCAGCAACCGCTGAGCTCGCCGATCTATGGGGGCAGGAATCATCGTCGATGGTGTGCCCTGTGCTCGCTGCCCTTGCGGCCCGAGTCGTGTCCTCGGTCTCACTCGTCGCCCTCCTCCATCATCTCCATCTGCCGCCCGTGGTTTGGGTACGTAATCGGAGTCCCCTGCATCATCAGTGCCTGTGGTCTCTCCCGGGGCGACAACTGTGCTGTCGTCGTGGACGATAAGTACACTGCCGCATCTCTTCTGACCTGCCACTGCATTCCCTGTGCCCTCCCTGCCGACGATATCCGCCGTCGTTGCATCCCTCCCTCCAACATCCAATTCGTCGCCGTCAGGTGCAATCTCTCCGTCGTCGAGATGCACAACGCCCGATCCTCTCTCTCGGGAACGCATATGTGAGGATGAACGTGACGCCTTCCTTGTCGAGGCCTTCTTCCTTGCCCGAGAAAGACTCGCCTTTGCGGCTCTCGTAGCATGGACATCAGACGTCTTCGTCGGCAAAGCACTCCTGTGTCCTCAAACTCGGCCATGGCGGTGTGCCGAGCACCATCCACACTCCCAATGGATCGTTTCCCCATAGACGGTGCAGATGGCCTACCAACATTCCGGACTCCCTGCTCATCCATCCCCCCAGTACTCTTCCCGCTGGCATAAAATGCCACTGTCGGCAAAACAGTGGCTCTGTCGCGCCGTGCTGTCGCCGATGACCCAACCACAAGCTGTTCTGTCGCGTCTGCGCCACTGTTTGTGACGGGGACGYCCGCATCTGCGCCGACAGCCGCGGCAATCGGATGATGCTCTAAGTTTGACGGCGGACTTGGGGGTCTTGCATCTCTTTCGAGTGTGTCAACTGGCCCACCAGGAGACCCTTCCTCTGCACCGTCAAACGAATGAGAAAGACTGCGTTGTGCGATGCTGCGCTGACCGTCGCGACGGTGTCGCGTCGCCGTCTCCACCAAACCAAGGGCAACCTCGCGTAGTTTGCCAACACGAAAAATTGTGGGCGTGGCAGACACCATTGGGCTCGTAATGATATCGGCGATATCGCCTCCTGACACGTCAAACCCGTCCGATCCACGCTCGATGACAACAGGCTGTTGTGGCTTGGGCGGTGACACATGGGGTAGACCTGGGGATATCAACGTCGACAAGTYCGGTAGAGAAACGAGCGCAGAGTCCATGGTCAGTAACTCGCCGGTACCCGGAAGACTGYCGGTGGGGCATGCGAGGCCGACATGGTCTGCGGCGCTCTGCTCGGCTGCGGGAGTGTGTGAGATMTCACGTTCCGGGAGATCGTCGCCTTGACACACAACAACGGTCCCCTGAATCCCCTCCATCAATGCAGGCGGTGGCCGCGGTTGAACACTGCGAGGTGGGAGCATACTTTCTTGCTCCGCCGCTGCCAGTGGTAATCCCACATCCGAGGTCGCTGCAACTGAGACTGCCGCTCCGGCAGACGTGAGTGGATGCAGTGCACCGACAGAACCCTCGTCCCGCACTGCCGGGAGAGGACTGATCTCTCCCTGAACCTCGGGATGACACATCAACGGTGCTGGACCCTGTTGCGATTCTGGGACTGCTGCGGAAGGCCCCATCGGAGCTGTCGCGTGCATACTCGAAGTGTCACCTCGTGGATGACCGCTCCCGCCATGCAGCTCGATCCGCTCCTCGCCGCCGTGATCGCTGAAAGAGTCCTCAGAAACTGGAATCTGCCCAGTTGCGGGGACTCGTGATAGTGGAATGCTAGCAACCCCACCATGACGTTTGCGCACACGTGAAGCGATAGTGTCTTTTTCCCTTGGTCCGCGTTTCAAGCGCCTCAGGTCACCGCCCGAGACAGGTCGTAAACCATCATCATGCACTCCATCTCAAGCGTCATCTACTGCTGTGCAGTGCTCGCCCCCTGCCCCGTTGGCGCGCATCGTGTCACCATGTGCAGGTCGTGGCCTATCTCCTCCGTCACCGTGATCATCGCCACTGGCAGAGTCTGTGACGTCGCCCACGTTCGGGTGACGGTCGTCGAAATCGCTGTCGCCATCCTGTGCAGGCCTTCCAGTCCCGAAGAAATCCTCGTCATCGCTGGACGAGCTCTCGTACAAAAAGTCTCCCTCCTCCCACCGCTATCGAGGCTTGCGTACTAGCTCGTCCACTGCCCTTCCACGACTCGCTACACTACGCCTCCCGCCAGGACCTCCACGCCCGCCTCGCCCGCGACCGCCCCGACGACCACCTCCGCGACCGCCGCCACGACACCTCCTCCTGTCAGACTCCCGCAAGCGACGAGTGGCTCCCATGCGGGACACGACGCGCATCCTCTCTCTCGCCTGCGTCAACTCCTCCTTCGTGACCGTCACACGGGCTCCTCGGTCTGCCACAAGCTGCTGGTCGATGGGCACCTCCTCCTCCACCTGCTGCCAGTAGTGCACCCAGCTCCCATACGGATGTGGCCTGTCACTGGGAGCATCGTCCGACATAGCCTTCCTGTCGAGGAGCCGAAGGTTCCAATSGCATCGCACGAGCTTCTCGGTCCGCGCCACCTCCAATGTGTTACGAGATTTGGAGTGGATGAAACTCCAACGGGACCAAGCTCTCTCGCAAGGCGACGCAGTCGCCCACACACGCAGTATCCTGCCAGCGAAGAAGGCCGTGTGCGGGAACCTCTTCTCCTTCGACTCCCAGAAACATGCTGGATGGGTATAGCTCCTCGCCGCCCGGTCCATGGCCACATCGTCGAACGGCGGCTCCCTGGAATGGAACTTGTCAATGGCAGTGAGGACCTCGGTGTGCTGATCCGAATGTTCCGGGTACCCAAACTGAATCAGAGCGAGTTTCAAACCGTGCTGCATCTCCTTGTCATCTTGCATCGTGCAGTCTCGAAACTCGGGGTCCAACATCATGGCAGCAACATGAGCAGGCGACTTGAACATGATGCGGCGTCTGTCAAACACTTCAAGCAGCGCGTCCTGCTCGTCCTTCTCCAAAGCGGCACATGCAGACAAACAACGCGCGATCATCTCGTCGTACCGACGCAGAATCTTGCCAATCTGCTTCGTGTCGCTGTCCACCATCTGCARCATGTCCATGATGGGATCCAACAATTTGCACAGCACTCTCATATCCTCCCACCATTGAGGACAACCGACACATGCTGTGACCTCCGCAGCGTCGTCTCGAATCTTCTTCGTTGACCAAACAGTGTCCTTCCATCGATCATCAACGACCACCTRCATAAGATGCGATTGCAGCAGAAGAAGTCGTCGCATCATAATCACATGCGTACCGAAGCGAGTCTCGGCGGGAAGCAGCAGAGCCTTCGTCGTGAAAGCTTGCAAAACTTCGCGAGCGTGGCTATGACGCTTGAAAAACTTTGTGACCAAACGCGCCTGAGCAACGCGGGTCGCCACCCARTCAATGCTGCMGATGTCCTCAAGGATGAGGTCCATRACGTGTGCCACACAAGGAATCCAGAAGATGTGCTTGACACTCTCATCCTTCTGGAACACCTCCATCGCAGAAACGTTCGAACTGGCAGAGTCKKTGACGAAAGCGGTGATGTCGGCGAGCTTKATGTCAAGGGACTTCAACCTTCGCAGCCAAACCTGCGCCAGAGCAGTGGCATCCTTCTTTCCTCGCATAACATCTGTCGCGACGTATGTGGCGCCCCGTGTAGTGCCGACGAGATAGWTGCACAACRTTTGGSCCCGAATGTTGGTCCAACCGTCTGTCATTATCGTGCAACCGTAGGTAGCTGCAGTAGCGAGGACAGGTTTCACACACTTTTGGACTTCCACATCAAGCTCATCCAAAAGTGTGGTACGGATCATGTGATACGTTGGGGGTTTTGGGGTGGGGACTCCTGGAACCCCAGGCGGGATGATCAACGTCAACATGCGTTTGAAGCTCTCAAGCTTCACACAGTTGAACGGCATGCCGCTCTCGACAATGAATCGCATGATCTGCAGGTGCCATGCGTGCTTCAGCGGGTCGTTGTAATACGAGGTCACCGCCTGCTGCCTGTAAGTGCCCCTCACTCGTACACCGGCGCCCATACCTAGCGAATCCCACACCTCGCCCCCGGCCGCAGGTGATGCGGTGGGGCTGGACTCGAAGCTGCAATGTTGCGCAGATTCTGTAAAGGATTCAGTGTCCCAAAAACACCGTGCTGCGAGGTCGGGCCGTTCACGGGCACAGGAGTGGGTGACGAATCCGAAACCTGGACGGGCTCGTCGAGCTGGACGTTTCCCGCACCCTCAGTGGCCGTTGCAGCGGCCTCGCCAACAGGTGCCGAAGTCTGGTGTAGGCCGTCGTGTTTGCGAAGGAGGGGGAGGCAACCATGGATACGCAGCGGATTGATGTCCTATTGCGCGTGCTCCTGCCACGGGCGAACGTGTGTCTGTGCGTCGAATTCTTGGGACCTTGTCTCTGTTGCCAGTGAACAACGGGGCGAGGTATGATGATGTGCCAGCGTCCTTCCCCCACCCACCGCCCTCGACGAAAGCAGGAGTGCCTTGCTCGTCGAACGGCACAGGTTCCCCGACACCTGAAACTGGCACGGTGCCTTGCGCATCAGGCTGCGTTGCCACAGATGGTCTGCCATCATAGGATGCGGAAATCGTTTGACGAAGCGGACAAGGGGGGAGGGGAGCAAGTGGTGCACATGGAGATGGCGCCACTTGCGAGGCGGCAACGGTCGACGGGGGCGGCGGAACGACGTCATCGGGAAAACGAAGAGGTGGCCATTGAAAAGAGGGATAACCTAGAGGGAGACTCTGCAAGGCCTGCACGGCAGGACACTTGGACATATCCTTTGACCAAATCGCGTGCCACACCGCCGGAGTGGCTACTTGGCATCTATACCCCTCGCCACGAAAAAAGTGTTTCTTCGCCTCACGAGCACCCCCACATAGAGAACGACCGCATAACCTGCACAAACAACGGCGACCGTTCTTCCTCCCGATCGCAGTGGATCCATCWAAATAACGACCACGAGCAACGAAATGCGAAACAGAATCATCTCGTTTTCCATCCGCCTTTGGATCCACCTTAAAAGGGGAGTCAAAGGTTTTCGTCTTGTGACCTTTTCTACTACCCTCCGCCCTTTTCCCCGTTGCCGAGGAGGACTCCGCGGGGCCCTTCCCGTTATTGCCTCGAGCGTCAGACATATTGTGGAGACCGAATGAAATCCGCAGAAGGGGTGAACTGAAACGAACTTCGACACCAACGACAAAGAACTGCACCGAAGTTACTGAACAACCGACGAATCAACCTGTAAAAGATGGACAGTGACAGGAACGAACCACAGCGACAAACAAGAGAAGGAACAAACATAAAGACCCCTAGAGACAAAAAAAAAAAAAACACCCCTAGAATGAAAAAAAATAATAAACAAATCAACACACATTTCACGGCATCCCGTCTTTGCCACACCCCCTAGACCCCCCATGCATTGCCGCTCATGGCGGTCCCCCCCAAGAACAAAAGAAGGAACAAACACAAAGGTAGAAATAAAGATACAAAGAAAAAAAACACACACACACATTCACGGCATCCCGTCTTTGCCGCACCCCTTAGAGACTTGTTAGAGTCCTAGACCCCCCATGCATAGCCGCTCATGGCGGTCCACCCCAAGAACAAGACAAGGAACAAACACAAAGGTAGAAATAAAGATAGAAAAAAAAAAAAACAAGAAAAAAACACATCAACGGCATCCCGTCTTTGCCGCTCATGGCGGTCCTACCCAAGAGAAGGAACAAACGCAAAGGTAGAAATAAAGATAAAAAAAAAAAGAAAAAAAAAACACACACACATTCCACAGCATCCCGTCTTTGCCGCACCCCCTAGAGTCCTAGACCCCCCATGCATAGCCGCTCATGGTGGTCCACCCCTAGAACGAGACAAGGAACAAACATAAAGGTAGAAATAAAGGTAGACAAGGAACAGCATCCCGTCTTTGCCGCAACCCCCTGGAGTCCTAAACCCCCCATGCATTGCCGCTCATGGCGGTCCACCCATCATTAAGGAAGAAATAAAGATAGAAAAAAAAAAAAAAAAAAACAGTTATTCCACGGCATCCCGTCTTTGCCGCACCCATACAACCGTTT